AGAGAACCGCGTGCCGGCAGCGGAGATCGGGGCGGTGTTGGCGGCGGGCGCGGCGGCGGTGGGCTTTGGCCTGCTGCGCCGCCTGCACTGCCGCAGCTGCGACCTGGCGCGCCAGCTCAGCGAGACCCGCAGCGAGCTGGAGTCCAAGTCCTCCCAGCTCAGCGAGCTGATGGATGAGCTGGAGACGACGCGGTGAGTCTGGGGCGCATGTGCTGCCTGCCGTGCCGCTGCCGGCTGGGTGCCGTGCGGTCGCGGTCCATCTGGCGCCAACGGCAGTGCTGCCAGCCGCTGGCGGCGCACTGCGAGGCATGCTGCCACCAGCCAGCGCGTGGCAGCAGCTTACCTGCCCTGCGTACAAACAGGCAGCCCGTCGGGCACACGCTGCCTGCTGCACGCTGTCCCCAGCGTGCTGTTGCTGCCTCCCGCGTTGCTGCGGCCCTCCCTTCACACGCAGGCACGACCTGGAGGCCAAAGTGGCGGCGCTGGAGGCGCAGCAGGCCCAGCTGGAGGCGCAGCAGCGGGTGCTGGAGGCGGCGCGGGGCGAGCTGGGCACCAGCCGCAGCCGCATCCAGCTGATCGAGAAAGAGCTGCAGGTGGGGGCGCCGGGTGTGTGTGGCATGTATGGGACAATTAGTTGATGTGCGTGTGTGTGGCGGAGGACAAACGATGGATAGGTCAACAGGGGTGGCTGGGGTGGCATGCCTCGCACCTGGTTTTTGATGCCCCGCCTGCCTCCGACCTTGCTCGGGCCCTGCTGCCGCAGGACACGCGCAGCAACATGAGGGCACAGGTGGAGGCTCTGGAGCGCGCTCGGTACGAGTTGGCGGCGTCTCGGGCTGGGCTGGACTAGGGCCGGCCTCGCTCCGCCATGCCTTTCTTGTACTCTACAAGTTTTCGCTTGTCGTGACTAGCTGTTGTTTCCGCAGTTCTTTCTCCCCACTTTGCTCTGCTTTGATTTGCTTGTTTCCGCTGGCCATGCCGCGAAGAAGCGGCAGTGCATTTTTGCCAGTCGGTTGGTCTCCGCCGTTTTGTCTGGGTCGCAGCACGACTCAAATGACCTGTGCCTGCATGATGGCACGACTGTGCTGGGCCTGCAATTGGCCTGCGCCCTCGTCTTGCCTCCGATCAGTCACAGAATCTGACAGCCGGCGGTACACATCATGGAGCAAGTGTACTGTGGTGTTGGTGGCTTCGTCCTGCGGATGCCGAGAATCGCTCCAGTCACCCCATCTGCTTCATCGGTCCTCCCTTGCTGCTGGACGGTGCCTGTCTCTCGCTCCCGACGCTCCAGCAGCCCCCAGTTTTCGCCGCGCCTGCCGTCCGCCCAGCCCTTGCAATGCTGTCCCTGAGCGCTGTCCATTGCCCTGGCGCGCGCCTCAGCAGCAGCCGCAGTGTGGCTCCTCGTGGCCGCCCCGCAGCATCGTCGGCGCCAGTCTTTTTCACCGGCCGGCCAGCCAGGCGGCTCGCGGTGGTGAGGGCGCAAGGTGGGTGGCCGCGGGGCCCGCGCAGACTGGCGGGGCAGGGCTGGTGGGCGGCGGCCGCCAGCGCCGCTGCGGAGCGGTGCTTGCTTCCACCCCCCCAGCCTCACCCGGCACACGTGCTCCGTCCATGTCTCTGCAGCCGACGATGACGACGACGAGGACTTTGAGGCGCGGCTGGCGGCCCTGAAGACAGCCAAGGGAGAGACGCCCTACGGTGCGCCTGCCGCCGCCGCCGTCGCTGCCTCGACTGCCGCCAGCCGCTCTCCTGCATGCCCTGCTGCCAGGCCCACCAGCCCTGGCATGCCCCGCTGCGGCCAGCCAGGCACCCATGCGCCTTGTCCCTGCCCTTCGCCTGCCTCCCACCCTGCACTGCCCCGCCCCCTGCTCCCGTCACCCCGCAGGCACGGGCAAGAAGTCGGCGGCCAAGCCCGAGAAGGCGGCGGCCCCGGGGCGCAAGAAGCAGTACGACTACAGCAACGAGTCGGTGGTGTTTGAGTCACGTGAGCCTGGGCGGGGCGTGAGCAGCGCGAGTAGGAAAGAAAAAAAGAACAAAAATTCGGCGGCGCGCAGGATGGACAGGGGCCGTGCTGGGTGGCTGCGGCGGCTGCGCCGCGGGAGGCAGAGCAGGGGTTGGAGCCCGCCAGCCAGGGCGGCGATGCGCCGCCGGTTGCAGCCGTGGGCACGCCACGCGTGGATGCGGAGGCGCCAGTCGCTGCACCGTCATGCCGCCGCGCTGCTGAGCTGCGCTGCTGATTGGCGCGCCCGTGCCTGCTCCGGCCCCTGGCCCCCCTGTTCTTCCACCGTGCAGCGCCTCACCGCGGCGACCTGGCGGTCAACCTGGCGCTGGGCATCACGCTGCTCTGGCTGCCGCTCTCTGTCGCGGGTGAGGCGTGCTGTCGGGGATTCAGCGGGCCAGTGGAGAAGGGGTAGGGGCGCCATGCATGCGCGGCCGGCGGCGAGTGGCAGCCGCGGGCCGCAGGCGCGCGGTCTGCTGGCTGCAGAGCCTGATGGGCAGCGCGCACGCTGCGGGCTGGGCCGTCGGGACGTGCCATGCTCGCACCCTGCCTGCCTGCCTGCCTGCCTGACCCCTTGCATGACCCCCTGCCTGACCCCCCTGCCCTGCGTTCAGCCCTGGGGCGCGGCCTGTTTGTGAAGTACCGCTTCACCGACCGCCGCATCAGCGTCATCACCACCGCGCCCTGGCAGAGTGAGCGGGGCAGCGGGGGAGCGGCGGCGGGGCAGCGGGGCCGCTGCTGTGGTGGTGTGCGCGAGGGCTGCATGGCGCGTGGACGGGAGCGCTGTGCGACTCTGTGTCCCTGCTTTGTCCCTGGAGCCCACGTCGACCAATGCTGCCATGTTGGCTAAGCCGCAGACCCGCCCGCCGGGCTGTCGCATGCATGCTCCTCTCGCTCGCATGCACCTCCCCTCCTCCTCTCCCTCCCCCCTGTCACTCCACTCCTCCACGCCCCTCCTCCTCCTCCTCCACCACCTCCTCCACCTCCCGCCTGCCTCTCCCGCAGATGAGCAGCTGGATGCAGCGTACGAGGAGGTGTCCCAGGTGGTGAGCATCGGGCGGGGCGTGGGCGCCTGGGGTGACATGGTCATCACGCTGCGCGACGGCAGCAAGATCGAGATGCGCTCGCTGCCCAGGTGCGCCCAGTGGTAGCGGTGGCAACGGCGGCGGCGGGAGGCTGGCGGGGTGGGTGGTGGAGGAGGAGGAGGAGGGGCGTGGAGGAGTGGAGTGACAGGGGGGAGGGAGAGGAGGAGGGGAGGTGCATGCGAGCGAGAGGAGCATGCATGCGACAGCCCGGCGGGCGGGTCTGCGGCTTAGCCAACATGGCAGCATTGGTCGA